ATTTGTATACGTATTTGACAGGAGAGATAAAGATGCACCTGATGTTAAAATACCCACAGGAGGCTTATTTACCTTTGAGGATTTCAAAGATAGGGTTAGAGAGGTGAGTTATGAAACGAAACATAGCAATGTTTACAAACAAAGCCATCATGGCGTGGTCATGTTGCTGATTACTATGCATATGGATTTGAATGCAATGTGTAGAAATAATGTAAAGAAATCATTGGATTTTGTAACTGAGCAAAGTATTCGTCAAGTCAATAGCAGGTAAAGTCACCACACAGTTTTATTAATAACTGTCTAATGTAATAAATATGCATTGTAAATAAATTGCCATCTGCACCCTTTTTAAAAAAAAAAACAAGTTGTATTGTAACCTATGAATGAAAGTAAAAAAGTTTTCTATCAGTGCAATATCAGGGATTACTCTAGGTTTTTGGGGAAACTACCCTTTCTGGAGAAATTGGGAAAATCAGCCGGGGTTGGAGGCCAATTGAATTTCAGCATTTTTATGACCAATTAAAGCTTATAAAGTAGCAAAGTAAAACCATATTTCTCATAAAGTGAAAAAATTCACTTTATATATTCAGTTTTTATGAAGGAAAAAAATAATTGAGGCTATTATTATTGTAAGGGGAATATTTTACTCATCAAAAGGGGAAAATTAGATCTTCAGAGGAAATTTTCTCTAAGGGAAAAACACCGAATATCGGTAGTAAATATGCCCTAGATTAATCCCTGAATATTTATACCACATTAATTGAATTATGCGATTAATGATTTTAATTTCATATTTTTAGGCTTTGCAGATCAAGAAGAAAGATAACTTTGTTATTGCCACAACAAACAGAGAGGAAATTAAAGATGATGAAACCTGGGGTACATTTAATGATCAAACTAAATATATTTACTATAAAAAGCTTTCTTACTATGGAGGCTTACTTATTAATAAGTCTTTTACCTTTTATACCAAATAAAACTAAATGTATTTACTATAAAAAGCTTTCTTACTAAGGAGGCTCACTTATGTCTATTGCCATGTATACCACTTACTAAATTTATGCAAATTTAATGCTATTTTTGTATCTCAGATGATATAGATAATGGAGACACTCTCTATGTTCTAAAGAAAATTAACCAAGAGCTGTGTGCCCCAGCAAATGAAAGAGTTAATTTTGTGCCACATTATGACACCATCGTGAAAGGAGGACTTTATGAATACTACGCATCAGAAGGACAGAATCCACTACGTAAGAATAAAGTAGATTTTAAAGGGCCTAATAATTGATTAGTCTTAATTTTAAAAAACAAACAAACAGAATACAACATTCATTTATAGATTGTAAAAGATCTAATGATTGATAATAATAAATATTTTAAACTTTATTCACAGCATATGCCTTTGCTGAGTTGATTGATAACGCATTATCAGCAACAGCAGAAAATACTGGACCAAGAAACATTGACATTTTATTGGTGAGTGATTTGTAACTTTATGCAGATAAATAGTTGGGAAAAAATTCTGATGCAGTACATTGTCAAGAACTGGATTGAGATATAAAATTGAGTAGTTTGTCTCAAAGACATTTTTTTATGAAGATGGATATCTTTTTACTGAACAATGGACTTCAGAATTTATAAGATACAAATCATTGCAAAGCATGTAAAACTCTATCTCCTTGTTTTGCAGCATTTTGATGACGGGAAGCCATCAAATAATGCCATATTTATCATTGATAACGGAAAAGGGATGACACCAAGACAGCTGAACAACTGGGCTATTTATCGACTCTCTAAATTCAAACGCAAAGATAAAAGAGGGAAAGTGTAAGTAATTTAACTGAATGACTTACAAACTCGCGCCAATCACCCATAAATGTCAAGACTAATGTGCTCATGAATATGAACTTTTTACTGAAATAAAAAATTTGCACTGTTTTTGATAAAGTATAAAAGTGACTAATTATGAATGTGATTGACAGGAGCTTTATTGAGGGGGAGGATGATGATGAAGAAGTAGAACAGAAACAGGCCCCCCTGTGTCTGAATAGTGACATCTCGTACTTTGGTGTGGGAGGAAAGCAGGCTGTGTTCTTCATAGGAAATTCCACAAGGGTAAGATTTGGGTAACCTTTTGGAATTCAGTGGAATTTAAGAACGTTGTTAAATCTTTTTACTCACGATTTTATAGATACAATGATTTCATCACAGATTTAATTCATTTCATGACAAAAATATATATGGGGAGAATATGGGACAATTATTTAGTAACTTTTTTTTATATAAATTTAAAGCTATTACTCATTTTGTGTAAAGTTATGCATGTCTTGTTTAAAAATTTTGCACTTTTTTTGTTTAGTCATCAAATTATATTAAATTAACATGTTTTGGGGTGTAAGTTTACTTTTACATGAAGTATTATTGTGACTTGTAGATGATGACAAAGGCTATGGATTCTCAAGATATTCATGAGCTGACAATGTCAAAAGAGGAGTTCAAACAGAAAGAGATCAACAAGGAGTCCGTGTACAGCGGCTTCATCAGGAATAGGAAGGTTTGTCATTTTACTCCTATGCAAGGATGTAAAGAATGTGTTATTTTATCAATTCTTTATCAATTATGAAGTGTAATTGACACATTCATGAACTATGACAAATGGTTTGTAATTTAGGAGTAGGAAATTTTCATGAACTTGATTTTATGTATTGAAGGTAGGGGACTCATCTCACATACCACAAGAAAATGAAATCCTGCAGAACATCATTAAAGATGAAAAGAAAAAACAGAGTTTTACTGTTGTTGAAATAGGTGGTATCAACCCTAGTCATGTTTTGTATCTCAGACATCATATTGCTGACTGGACAAGACAACTTGCGTAAGCTACATTTAATTTATTTTATCTTTTAAAGGAATAAAAATAGCTTTTATTTAAAAAAAAAAAATAAATTGAAAAACATTTTAAACTTGTATAGGTACAGTCTTCACGAAAACTCACTGGTCCGAAGACCGAGGCCAGTGAATTTTGATGTCGGGTCAGTGAAAATCAAAATTCAAGAAGTCCGATAGGCTTGTTGATTCTAAAATCATACACAGTCAATATATACTTTAAGACTTATTTGCATAAATTTCATTAATATATAAAATAAAAAGAACAAGCACGTGTTGTTGAATCGTATTATGATAACCCTTTTCGAACATGGATGTATTACGTAACAACCGGAACTAGCTAGTAACTATTAACTAGTACGTAAAATGTGCAAAATTCCAACGAACAACTTACCGAAACGCAACAAAGGACGAAAAATGGCGGCATTTCGAAAGTTGAAGTACGTAAACATGTATAAATTTACAGTTATGAAAATGTATTTATTTTATTATTTAATTAAGGGGCCAGTAAAAATTTTGGTGGGCCAGTAAAGTTTGAAAGTTCACTGGTCCGATTGGCCAGTTAGTTTGAAAAGTTTTCGTGAAGACTGTAGGTACCTTAATGATATTTATTTTTAGAAAATTTTTCAGCAATTATCATAGAGATACATGTACATGTAGCCAATTGTATGGTTTTATAACTCTCGTATTATAATAAATATCTGTTATCTTTACAGGCATATTTACCATTACTACATCCATGGTCCTGAGGGAAATCGTGATCTAGAGGATGACATGGACAGACCCAACACTCCCTTTAACAACATCAATATCAGGGTACAATTTTCCTTACTTGTCAGATTTACACACTGCATTGTACTTCAAAAAATATAATCAAGGAGACTGTGTATTTAAAGGTCTAATTCAAAGTTCATCTTTTCTGACTGTCTTTTGTACTTTTTTGAGGGACAGAATTGTTTGGTTAGGAAAGCTTTTTCATATGATTGTACCATAAAGTCAATAATTTTTATGGGCATTTCATGTTATAATTATTTTTTTTTTGCATTGTAAAGTAAAATCCCTAAAACCAATTTTTTCCCCAACCACAAAAATGAAATTTAACAAATTTTTGAGTAAATGAATCTATGACAAACAACTGTACCAGAACATGTATCCTTTTATACTCGATAATAATTGGGAAAATGTCTTTACAGGTAAAGCTGAATGTAAAAGGAAAGCCAGCAACAGAAATCAACTTGCGAGACATACACGACGACATGCAGTCTCTGTACGTCAGAAACTCGGCCAGTCAGTTCTTCTTTAAGGCCACGACAGAGGGAGAGGGAGTGGTAGAGGGAATTATCCGTTATCATCCATTTCTGTATGACAGTGAAACATATCCATCGGATGTTAATGATCCAAGAGGTACTCCCTTTAGAAATCAGAATTATCATAGAGTTTTTTGTTTACCAACAGACCTTCATGTAATTTTAAAATATTTAATAATGGTGTGATTTTAGTAGCAGGTCACTTTGGACAGATGGTGGTACAGTGTACAAGAAAATGTCTTGGGAGGGACTTAATGTTATGCTTGTCGCACATTATTATTTCTCATCAATCAAGCAGTGAAATACCTTGAAGTAATCATATATAGTATTTATCTCAGTTGAGCATGTATTTGACCTGTATGTATGTTTAATTGTAGTAGAAACAGAGTTTGATGAACATGATTATGCTGTCAGCACCAGACCAGCGAGGGGAAGACGCCCTATATTTGAATGCTATTGGAATGGTAGACTTATCCCATACACCAGTATAGAAGAGTAAGCAGATATTAAGACACAAGTTGATGAATTGGGATGTGATTTATTTGTTAATTAGATTCAGTAATTATGGTAACAAGTAAGTTTGTAAATATAAAAATATAGAAATTTTGTTTATCCTGATTTTAATTGATAAGTGATTTTATAAGGCCTAAATTAAAATATTGTTTGTTTGCCCTTAGCCGACCGACCCATGAAAATTAGCCCGACTCAATCAATCAATCAATCATTCTTTATTTCCTCCTCATGGAGATATATGATATGTGAAAACAATTAAATAAACATTACACTCAGTACATTTAAACAGACATATTTACATTTCCAATGTCTTTGTCCGAGATAAAATTACCAATTGTAAATGTAATTGATTTCCTCATGAATGTTTTGGCACGGTTCCAAAAAAACCACGTGCAGGGCGGGACAACACCTAGAGAGAAGCAGGCTTGGAGCCCGTGGATTGGCGGAATCAAAGCATGTAAATATAAGGAATAACTGTCAGATTTTTCGAATTCATGAAGATGATCAATGGATTGGCTTGTGTGATAATTTTATGCATAAACGCCTTCGGCGTTTATGCAAATTATCACACAAGCCAATCCATTGATCACTTCATGAATTCGAAAAATAAGACAGTTATTCCTTAAATAAACATACAAAATTAAAGATACAAAAACATTTTTAAAGGTGAGAGGTGAGAGGGGAGGTGGTGGAAAAAAAGGGGGGATACTCTGTATTTTGTGTCTGACAGCGTTATGTATTGGTAAGTGACAGTTGTCGCAGTGCCCTGTTGTAATGCACGGCTGCCTACATACCTACCCATTCCTAAAAAGCTAGGTCGGTAAATGGCAAACAAACATATTTTTAATTTTGGCCTAACCTAGACTTATTTTCTTGTTACTTTTGATGTACTGTAGATTTGATTGGTGTTCTGAACCAAAGAAGAGCCGGACCATTGCAGCAGAATGCTGGAATAGGTTTGTGGACTTGAAATTGTTTTTGTATTACATTGTTACTTGATCTTGAGCTTTTGAACTGGCATGTTTGAAAGGTTGAAAGTGTAAAGCTTAGCTACATGTAACTGAGGGGGTTAAAGTGATGAATTGTGTCAAAACTGTAAAACTTTTTTGTTTACATGGATTCAAATATTTTGTTTCAGAATATCTGGTGTGCTGTTCACAAATGACCATTTCCAGGTCAGCACTAATAAGCTGACCTTTCTTGACCTGGAAATGAGGTTACGGGATAAAAGCTCTATATTCAGTAGGGTAGTCAATGGACAGGTAAGAAGTACTGGATATCCATCTTTGTGATAGAAATTCATAATAAATGTCAGGAAAGAGGATGTTTTACCTCTTCTCATTGTAGACTTGGATAGCTTGTGTGATTTTAAAGTGTTTGAAATCCATTTTTCAAAATGTTGTATTTTAGCATTCTACTTTTCAGTAAAACACAATTCCTTCCATCTATCTTTATTCTCAATTAACACATCCAATAAAAACAGGAAGGGATACATTTGTGAATGTAAAGCTTAGAATATACATGTGTGTTTTCAAGTACAAGAAGTATTTGAATACATACATGAAGAGGTACATTCCTTTTTTGAGACTATGTTTTTACACCTTAATTGTTAATTAAGTTTATTTAATACACCTAAATCACTTTAAAATATGTATTATGTTTGTGCAGGTATTTTAAATGCTAAGAGATAGAAGATTTAGCTCAATATTCATTTTATGACTAAATATTTTTTTAAAAAAAAGTATTTATTTTTTTCTTATGTAGGAAAAGCGTACATCAATTGAGAGGGAGTTCTTAAACTGGTTAAAAGACTGTCATGAACAGTACGACAAACAGATCCATTTTACTGGGTATGCAGGTCAAGTGGTGAGAACAGACCTTCCCAAGCAGAGGCAAACCCCATGGAGCCGGTACAAAAGTGTGGTGTGGGACAACAAGACATTCAAAGTGGGGCAGATGGTTAGTCTTTCTGAATCAGAAAATTACCAATGATTGTTAAGATTTAAGGATGCTGATGATGGTAATCTAATGGAATAAAAGTAATGCATTGCTGATCAACACACTTCTTGAAAAAAAGTTTGTAAATTTGAATTTACTGTTTTAAGTCTGAAATATTGTTTGTACTAATGCTACAATTGTAGAATGTTGAAATTATTGTTCTTCACAGGTGAAGATACTGAGAACTACCCCTGTACTGCTTGGCACCATTAAGAATTTCTATCTGTATGGAGAGCATGAAGAGGACACTTTTGCTACAGGTGAGCAGCTTATCTACAGAAAGTAAAGGGGAGTATGGTGAAGCAGATGGTGAAGTATATGTGTCAACCTTTACACACTAGAATTTAACAGTTTTGCCACTGGTAATTTTTATGCCCCCCTTCGAAGAAGGGAGGGCATATTGCTTTGCTGCTGTCTGTCGGTCGGTAGGTATGTCTGTCCGTCAGTCCATTTAGTTTCCGTTCATTTTCTTCACAACCGTTGCACATACTGAAATGAAATTTGGTATACAGGTATATCAGATGAATATCTAGGTCAAGTTCTGTTTTGGGTGTGATTGCTCTATTTTTGACAGAATTATCCCCCTTGGACTTAAAAAAAATTCCAATTATTTGCAGTTTCCGTTCATTTTCTTCAGAGAGGTTGCACATACAGAAATGAAATTTAGTATACAGATTTTTCAGATGAATGTCTAGGTCAAGTTCTGTTTTGGGTACAATCGCACCATTTTTGACAGAGTTATGCCCCTTGGACTTAGAAAAATTCCAATTATTTACAGTTTCTGTTCATTTTCTTCAGAGAGGTTGCACATACTGAAATGAAATTTAGTATACAGATTAATCAGATAAATATCTAGGCCAAGTTGTGTTTTGGGTATGGTTGCACCATTTTTGACAGAGTTATGCCCCCTTGGACTTGGAAAAATTCTAATTTGGGGGGAGGGGGGCATAAGTGTTTTACAAACATATCTTGTTGTTTGGTGTGTCAAAGGACAAGAAATTATGTGTGTAATAGCTTGGAATTGACTAGGAAATATTTTTTGTTACTGTTGGTATTAGTTTGGCTCTTATGGCACTTTTCAGAATACAGTTTGTCTTGAAAACTATGGAGGATATGTTAGCAATGACATGAACATTGCATATATAGCATCTTGCATACTTTTGATAATTGGATCCTCTGGAGGCAGGAACTTCAAGCTTTATGTTTGAATTCTGTTTATATAGGTGGTGAGATTGAGATCCAACAGGAGCCACAGTCTCTGTATAACGAGGTCAGGGTGGTGCCGCTGTCTAGACTGGACAGACTATGTGGTCCCACCTCCGTCAAGCGCTACTTAGAGGAGGAGGAGTCCAAGTAAGGAAGACTAGATTATGGCTTATCACAAGAGCTTAAAATGTCTCACATGTTTTTGATAGACTAGAAGGTTATTGTGACATTGTATGTATATTATTAGATTGCCTGACTCATTGATTGTAACCTGGCCTGAAGGTGATATTGTCAAACCAAATGAAAAAAGACCAGCAGGAAAAACCATTGGTATGTTATCTAGACACCATAAGAGTAACACTATCATGTTTAGTGTATTTACATGTAAGTTTTCAAGTGAGAGATCACTTTGTATGTATTAGAATTACAAGTGATATGTAACACCATCAGATTTCCTTGCATTTATTACATGTATAAATACAAAGAAAACAACATTTTCTGATGAGGTGAAATTTCTAATGATAACCAAAGTATACTTATATGAGATTCATAGTTGAGATCTTAAACAATGAGATCTTTGGCTTGAAATATTGGACATGTAAGTTTCATCCATAGTCAAGATGCATGCATATGTGCCAATGAATGATCTACCTTTTATTAGCTCTTCTGAGCCAAAGGCTCAAAGAGCTAATGCTATGGCCATTTGTGTGGTGTGCGGTGTGCATTAACTTTTTAGAATATGGGCCATAACTCAAGAACCCCTTGGCCAATCAGTGTCAAATTTTTCACAGGGTATCCTTGGCCCAAGGGCTACCCTTTATATTAAAATAAGGGTTGGGACCCTTAAACATTAGGGGAATATCAGGAAAACAAAACCAAAAGTACTGGTTGCAAAAATCTTCTCCAGAACCACCAGGCAGATTTTCACCAAAATTACATACAAGGATCAGGATATGTTGAAGACTAAAAATTGTTCAAGGCATGACCCTTGGGCAAAGGGCGTGGTCTCAAGGTCACTTCAAAGTTGACCTAAATTTACAAATAATAAAAAGTTTATATTTTGCTTACTATTAGGACTAGGATCATCAAATCTTGTAAGTTGATGCATCTCAGGACTTCACATTATGTTAACTCAAAAGTAGGTCACGGTGACCTACTTTTTAAATTTTGTGGGCATTTGTTTTCAAATTGATTTGAAGGCATAAGGCCTATGATCATCAAACTTTGTCAGTTGATGCATCTTGGGTCCTTGAACAATGTCGATATATTCTTAAAAGTAGGTCACTGTGACCTACTTGAACTTTATGACTAATTCTTCTTAAAACATTTAATCCAATTATTTCAGACACTCAGCAGGTTTAGAATCATCAAATCTCTCTAATTGAAACTGGGACCTTAAAACGTATTTATGAAAAAGCAGGTCACTGTGACCTACTTTTTGAATTTTGCAGGCATTTGTTTTCGTATTGTTTAAAAGGCATATTTTGATTACCTTCAGACCTAGGATCATCAAACTTGGTCAGCAGATGCATCTTGTGACTTTGAAAAATGTTGACCAAAATATAGGTCACGATGACCTAGTTTCAACATTTTATGGCTATATTTTAGTATCTTGGGTATTTATTGGCTTAGAATCATCAAACTTTGTGAGTTGATGCATCTTGGTTTTTCGGAGAGTAACAAACAAAAAGTAGGTCACGGTGACCTACTCCAGGACATTTTATGGCTTTATTTAAGTGATTATGGTATAAATGATATCCAATAAATCATCAAACTTTGTAAAGTTGATGTTCTTAAACAGTTCAAAAAGGGAGTTTGTGGATAAAAGTAGGTCACAGTGACCTCTTTTGACATTTTACATTTAAGTATCTACGGTACTTATTGGCTTAGAATCATCAAATTTTGTAATTTGATGCATTTATTTCATATATTAATGATGTCAAAAAAGTAGGTCACTGTAACCTAATTTTGAATTTTATGGCTGTATTTAAGTTCTATGGTACTAACTTGTATTGAATAAATCACTAAACTTTGTTTGTTGATGCATCTTTGGTTTTTATAGATGTATGACATCACAGTAGGTCATGGTGACCTTCTTTTGAATATTTAGGTATCTTTTTGTAGAATCATCAAACTTTGTCAGTTGATGTATTTTGGTTTTCCTCTCTGTAGTTTTTAAAGTAGGTTAATTACTTTGGTTTGAGATCTTGGTCTGACCAGCAGACATATTGGTCTTTGTTTATTATGTTGGTCCATTTTCTATGAAAACTTCAATCTTAACCATGGTCACTGTGATGTAATTATGTTTTTTTACTAATTTATTATCTCTAAATAATTTTTATCATTATTGGCTAAGAATCATTAATATTCTAATATGAAGTATGAAGATTCAGTCTTTGTGATTATTTTATGAGTGTGTAAATAATGAAAAGTAATGATTTCATACATCAGAAGAGCGATTTATATTTTTGAGAGTCTACAGTAAAGTTGATGTTTTATTTATATGCAGTTCACCCCTATAATTTCCTCAGAAAATGTATTATTTGAGAGAAAATGGCTTTATATGAATTGTATGATGTATATGCCATATTTTGAATATTGTCCAGAAAATTATAAAATTCAAAAAGTTCAGTATAATTGATCTGCTTGAAAAATCTCGTTAAATTAAAAGTTGTATGGCATACTTTGTCAAGATTACTATTGAGTTATACAGAAAACGGAGGATTTTTATTCATGTACACAATTAAAAATGATTTTTATTGAAATTACATGTATTGTACCAAGTGATCTATATGTCTGTATTGTTATCAAATATTTATTATTGTTTATATATATTTCAGAGCTGTGGTAATACACTTACCCATATCGACAACATGGTGTTTGTCTTTATTCACATATAAAACGAACCCATTTCATTAAGTTTCAATATTTGGAGTAAAATATGATTATTTATCGGATACCATTCTAATAGCGAACAAAGGCATAAACTACAAGAAATAATACCTGAAGTTAGCAACAAAAAAGCTGGTGGTGTAAATCAAAGATTTTTACAACTTATAGACCTGTAGCTCTCTGCTTTATCTGTCTGAATTTTCTCACGCAGAGAGCTACAGTTCTGCAGCTAACTAAATCAGATGCTTTAATTCAAGTATGACAAGAATACTTTTTAAAAAATTTTTTTACATTTAAAATCTTAATTTTTTTTTTTAAAACTTACCCATACAAACCTGATTTTTTTCACAATACTGGAAATGAGTAGCTTTAGTAACTTTATTAAATACAATCAATTCAAGCATTCAAAATTAACTTCTACCTTTCCTAATCAAAACAGAAAACTTTTTTTTCATTACCTTTGTTTGGGTTTCTTTTAACTTTTAGTTATTTATCATTTTTTGCTTTGGTCATTTAAAAACAAACCTACGGGAATAAGCTTTTATTAACTAATTTTTAAATCATTTATCAGATTTTACTCTGCTGTAATTTCAGAAAAGCTTATTTATTTCTGTAAAACTTGACAAGGCCATTCCAAGTTTGTTGGTTTATTTTTTCAAACATGTTTAGACTTCACAAAATTGAAATTCTGGTTCTCAGGCCCACGCACATCCATTTTGAGGTAGCCGCATTGCTAATTTTATTGTATTTTTGATAAAATAAAAAGTTGGTATTGCGGAGACCGATCCAAGAAAAAAAATTCAGTCTTCATTTTTTGGCTGTTTAGTACTCAAATATCACTTCTGGTGGCCATTTGCAAAGAGAATTTGGCTACTTCATTTGAAAATACATTCGAAGACATTGCCTACGATGTTCACACACAGATAAGCAATGGATAAAGCAAACCTTTTGATCAGACATGGAAAGTATATCTGTGATAAAAAAAATTATCTTTATTTTAAAGAAAATTCAAAATTTAAAATTAAAAAAAAAATACCTTACTCATCTACATTATTGCCAATAAAATGTTAAATAAAATGCCTCCCTCTTGCATCTGTTTTGGAGAAAATTGGCCTGAGAACCAGAGAAATTAAAATTTTATAGCCTAAGTTATTGTATGTGTTTATGTGTACATTTTAGGGGTCTTGACATTTCTTATGAGAAAACTGTAGTTAAAGGGAGAGCCCGATCTTGTCAGGAATTGTGCAAAAGGTGTCATCAGTGGAAAACACAGGGGTAAGGGGCATGAGGCACCAGAATGCATTTTCTATTAGAGAAAAAAAAAATTTAAAAAAACATGATATAGACTTTCACATCACAGGATATGTTTTTTTATGTTTAACAGTTTGTACATCTGTTTCATTCAATTTCTATGTAAATTTCAGAGCTATGGAGTTAATTACAGTCCCCGGACTAAGAGAAATCACAAGCTGTGAAAATCAGAATGTTGCCAGGTGTGTTTTCTAATTTTTTAACACACGCTATGTTAAGAAATGTGCTTTGGTTCATTGAAGCTTTGATAGGACAAGTGGTTATCCTCATTAAATCCAAAAAACATGTTTTTACAGAGGAAGTTTAGAAGTGCTCATAATTTATGTTGTGCTTGTTTTCATTAGGACCGCCCAAGGTTTTGAATGTGAAACCAGAGGAGAAAATCACCATAGAGAATGGTACAGCACCGGTGTTCAGGGTGGAAGTGTTGGACTTGTCTGGCAATATTACCACCGACAAAAATCTTGTAGTTACCTGTAAGGTAAATATCGCAATGATTGTGTTAAAGGTGTTTAAAAATTTCACTGTCAATGGTAGGTTAAATTAAGATATAAAACAGATGTGAATATCTGCAGATAAAAGTACACTGGACAAGTATATACATACGAAGCTCAACATGTATGTTACTAAAATTTTTGATAGGCACACTGTAATCTTCCATTTTCAAAAATTTAACTTCAAACAAGTTCTTTTT